ATATTAAGATTTAATTTGTTTGAATTTTTTAACAAGTTTACTGTATTGTTGACATTAAAATATTTAATTCGAAATAATTAGTAAAATAATTAGTACGTAAAATCTCTTAAATATTTCATACTATATCCATAAGCTACATTTAGATTCACGATTCATTGGACTGTCTACTGCACAATTAAATGCACTAGAAAAAGATGCCATGTTAGCCGTAGAACCAATAATACGAAATCGTGGAGGAGTGTGAATATCAATATTAGCGTTATTTTTCTCGTACGACTCTCTTGATGTTGTGCACCATGCCTTTAAAAGATGATTTATTCGCATAATTTAATAAATTGAAGACTTATACAATGGTTGACTTAGAATTATTTCACGATAATAAATTTGAAAAATCCATTTAGCCAAGTTTTCCTTACAGACCAACATATTTATAAATAATATGACTTACGTTTGCGTAAGATAAGAAGAACAGTTGCTCGTCGGTGATATTTGTTAATCCTGGCAATCTTGGTTGTGGTCTCTCAGTTAGTAAGCGTTTTTGAAATGCCGCGAAAGCAACTTCTAGGCCAACGTTGTCAGCAATATTTTCATTCTTTGTAAGTAGACCATTTATCTAAAAATAAATAAGAAACTCTGTTCAACGCAGGTCGTTCCTTCGCTAAACTTAGAGCGCCAAAGTTTAGACCGGCAGAACAAGTCGGCAGTGTTATCCATGAACTTGTGTTACTTTGTGCCTGCTAGTCGCCGCTTCGGGAAAAGTAAAGCATGTACATATATAGGTAAATTTAATATAAATCGCTGTCGTTACGAGTACGTACTTGTATAGGTTCTTCATCTTCATCTTCATCGTTTGTCGTATCGAACGTAAAATTGTCATATTGATCTACGAAGCATTTTACTTTTTCTTCGTAAGCCTTATTAGTTTCTTTAGTATGCCATGAAAATTTATTACCAAACTCGTCGTACAACATTCCTATATGTTTCCCGTACAAGATTCATAAAATAATAATGCATTAACTTATAACAGACTAACGAGTTGTGAACGTTTATTCAAACTAACCAATGCTGTCGAAACTGTGCGCGAGCTCGTGCCCAACAATCATACCTATACCGCCATAATTAACTGCACTGAAAAATTAATTACAGATTGAAATTCTTATCTTCCAGTTTCAAGTATCGATAATTGTTCTGTATTCTGTGTACTTACAGTGGCATGCCGGGAGTAAAGAACGGATCCTGGATCTCGGCAATTGGTATAACTGAAAGTAATTAAGATAAACTTGTAAGTGGTAAAACAATGTCACATTAGAAATACTAAGCGCGTAATCAAATAGAAATACTTATTCCGTTGGTTGATGGATCATAAAAGGAATTCTTAATTAGAGGGGATTCTGCCCACCTGCAATAATATTTCGTACTTTAATAACGTCGAAAGAGAGAGAAATCATAATATATGATCTATTCAATCAAATAACATGTTGCAACAACACAAATAGGCTTACTCATATTTGTCTATGGGTTCGCGAAATCTCATGCGAAGTTTCTTCTTTTTGTATATTAAGTTGGACAAATAGTTTTCGAAATAATCATTTTGCACCGACAGCTAGAAACACATGCATTTGATTGTTTTTTTTTTTAATGTTACGTGTGTTTTTATGTTATCACCGATAACATCGAATTTCCTACCTCTTCGTAATGTTCGATGAGTGCAGTCTGATTATTGTACCATTTAGGATAACCGATTTGTAGTATCAAATTATCCATTTTAGCTATCATAAATTCCTTTGTACTATTATTTATCCATTTGGAATGTAATATGCGCACTTTCATCTCCGTTCTTATCTCCTCGATCATTTCAATTACCTACAACAGATTCATTTTTATCTATTTCAATGCTTTACTTTTGAATAATTTTGACGAAGAAAAGATTTAAGTTCCTACAGCTTTTATGTTATTTGTCAAGTTGTATTTTCTGGTGTAGAGGTAGGATAAGGCGTCTATCAATGGTATATCCTTAACGCACGTTTCCCATCTATAAAATAAATAATAGTATACTTGGATGTCTTTAAGAGTTAGAAGTTACACTAACAAGCAAACTTACCCAAAAGATACATTTTGATTTCTTTCTACTTTGGCACAAATGTAGAAGTACAAAAAATATTTAGGTCATACTTTTTTCATTTTGGCTCACTTTGAGTTTCACGGGTAGTTTATAGCTTTTTAATGTTCTCACTCCTATCATCAACAAGTACAACAAAAATGCATAAGAAATAAAATTGAATACAAGATACAGTTAAATAATTTTTACAAAATCGGCATAGCTGAGACTATGTAATCCGGTAATTTTAATTAAAATTTTAAATCGGCATAGTTGAGATACGAACCATTTTCTTTAGCCAAAATTCCAACCGAAATATTTCAAATCTGTGCTAAATTAGTAAAAAAATGGTTCGAATCTCGGCCAAACCGAGAAATTATTTGTAAAATAATTTTTTTCAACTTTTTACATGTTTTGTTTAAACATTTTATTATTTATACAAATAATTTTACACATTTGACTTTATATTCATAATCGGCAAACCAAAAACGTCTATATCTTGTATTCAATTTTATTTTCTATGCATTTTTGTTGCACTTGTTGATGATAGGAGTAAGAACACTAAAAAGCTATAAACTAACCGTAAAACTCAAATTGGGCCAAAATAAAAATATGACCTAAATATTTGTTATATTTCTATATTTGTGCCAAATTAGAAAGAAATCGGAGTAACTTTTGTAGTTTTACTGTGTAGGTTTACTTGTAAGTATTTCTGACTTACCGCGGTTTTTGCTCGGTCACATTATATTGTTGATAATTTGATTCGAAATTAATGTCTCTTAATTCTTTATTCAGATACGGCATAAATTTATTTACTATGTTCCATTGTATAAAATTCACTAAGATAAAAAGATAAAAAGATAAATCCAGCATTAGAAAGTGTTATTTTAATACATTCCCTTTCTTAAATACGTATATTACCAAGTACGCGTGGCGATGTATCGTCTAACAAATATGCCAATTCGTGCAGAAGCTCTTTATTGTATACAAGCACAGGTTCTGAGGCGTCGATACTCACATTAACATTTTGGTAAATAAATTGTATTGTTTCCAGCCAGTTTATCTGAAAAAAATATTATAGAATCGTAATGCGAAGCTATCAATAACGGATTAATTACTCTCTAGTATTCTTAATATTATTAATACAATACATAAGAATATTGATTTGTCGAGATATACATAATGTGTATAAATACAATTACGACACTCGTATGTAGAGATCCATATTTTCGTTATATATTCGACGAATGCATATTTTTTCATAAAAAAATTGCAAAAATTACAAAATATTTATTACCTTCGCAGATGCATGTTGAGTTTCTGCAGAATCGTAATATTTTTGTAATTCTGAAATCGTCATTTTAGTTTGGTTTATCTCCATTCCTTGTAAGGTCTCTTCATTTGAGCATTCAGTGATCTGTCAAAATTAAACCATTTGTTTCAGTTTATATGTTTTATCGATCAAGGCTTTATGTAGCATTAATATTTTAAAATAATTACATCTTCAAATCTTTCTTGAAATTCACGTAACCTTGTTATTTCCTTGTTTCTATTTTTTTTATTTCTCTTAATTCTTTTATATGTTGCAAAGGCTTTTATTGTTTTTCTCATTTTGATTAGGCTCGTATCGAGTGACACGTTATCCTCCTCGTCAAGTTCGTCTTCCGTAAAAGAGGTATCGTCATCTATACTTACCTATAAACATACATATTTCAATTGTTTGCAGAAGATATACTAATGCTAACACTAGTCGTTCATTTATTACTGCGCGTACATATGCGTAGAATTCAAGTTAATCCTACGAAATTAAAGTAGTATTGAGTTTGCGATTAAATTGATTATTCGTGAATATTTCATTACATATTTTATTTTGAAATTGTCTCCGATAATAGCTGCAAATATATGCGGATATTGTATATCTGCAACGCACACACGCTCTCGTAAATGAAAAGATACCGTAAGTATATTGCGCGTCGAGTCCACCTCGTCAGCTTCATGACTGATTTTAAAAAAACTGCTACCGCCAAACAGCCAATTGTAAACATTGTCGATTTTTTGCCAAGTGAAATTCAAATTTGTGCCTTCTCTCTTCATTAAAACTGGCCACCCACCATTCGATTCTAATAATGCCATTATAGGTGCAAGTCCTTGTCTCTCGATCGCATCTGCAGTATCATCGATATCGATTGTTAAGTGTTCAAAAACATACTTCCAGAATTTACGTAAAATTAACGGCTATTAAGAGCCGTTTAATTATTTAAAGCATCGCCAACAGTATTATCGACACCCATCATAGTGTCAATTACAATTCATTTGATATTAAAAGTATGAATGTAAAATTCGTACCTTCGTCCATGCATGAACGGTAATATTGCTTGAGCATCTTTATAGGCGGCAGTTCGTCATATTCGCTCTCTTCCTCAAGTAACGCTGTATAATAAATGAAAAATAAGAAATAAACGTAAAGGCGATGGCTATTTCTAGTGACATTGATTGACATTAAAGTGATATTGTTGCAGTCTGAAGAGAAAACCTTCTCCGAAACGATTGAGTTGTCACTAAATATACTTGTGGGCTTTTCTATTATACAGTTTCTGTATTAGAGTTGTATATCTGTGGTACAATATTTCATTACGCGTTTCTACACACACACACATATACACACACATATTACCAAACCGCGTACCTTTTACGCGACGATTAATCTTCAGAATATACAGATCGTCCATATCCCATTGTAATTCACTGGGCGGTATAGGATTGTTCGTTGGCCACGAACCACATCCATAATCGTAGAAATTAGCACAAGGATCAAGAGAGTTGTTGATTCCACGCTGAATAGCTTTTCCTACACTCTCGAGAAGCAATATAATATTACATCAATCGCACAATTTCAAAGATAATTTAAATCTTTGTGAAACTGTTATTACACGAATTATTAAACAAATTCAAACGCTACTTGTTATTCCGTTATTACATTTTTTATCCGTTTATATTTTTTACGACAGTTTGCAGCGCACGTGGTTTGATATTCACGAGGTTTCGTCTTTTTTCACACGTAACACGCGATCTGTCTCATTCACTTTATTTGCGCTTACGTAAGATGGCTAAGTGGGAAAATTGACGTTACGTCGCCTCATGTGACATCACATTTTATCAACATACCAATTTCGCGGCATGCATCACTCTCACACACGATGTAGTCAGTCGATGTACGATTAAAAACATTAATTGGTTCTACGACTGTTATACAGAAGCTGTAAAGACAGAGTAATTAAATATAGGATACTGCGTAAAAAAGCGGCGTAAGATAGATGCAAGAACATTTTTTCTATATGTATCACGTGAGTTCACGTAATTTGTCTTTACGACAAATTGTAATTATACTTATTTGAATGCGTAGAATAGAAAATTGGGAAGAGTGAAATCAAGGACGCGTCTCGTTGACTCAATAGCCCATATATAGTAACGGACATCCAAGATCACACGAATAAAATATATCAATATGTATATATCACTTTCATAGAGTGTAGAACAATCACTTTATTCTTGCTGCTTTCACCATATTTTCAGATTTTTATTTTAACAATGCCGAAAACACGAAATGACAAGCGAAAAACAGAAGATACGACTCACAGTAGCGGTAAGAGATACATGTTTACATTCCAGAATCCGTTAGGACAGTATACCACCGAAAAGTCGAACGCGTACTATTTCCTTGACAAATCGGGATCGCTTTTAAATCGACAAATTCGGGCGAGCCGGTCGGCTACATACAGCTATGAGTAACTGTTATTTGTCTCGTTCATTCTCGGACAGGGGAACGCAAAGCAATGCGCCTCTCGTGTAGGCTCTATCTCTGAGGATTTGTATGGCATTATGTAAAAACGACACAGCATAATTAGGGAAGCGGTAAGAGATGACTCAGAGCTGCCACTTATTTGTGATGCAACATCGTGTACTAGAGTGGGAGAGAATGTTTCCTCTAAAATTTTGCCAAAAAGATGGTTAATTTATTTTCTTTTTAACAAAATGTCTCAAAGTAATCCGTTAATACGTCTGTTATTGAAATAGAGATGAATATACGACGATATGCATAGAGATACGACGATATGAATAGAGAGGAAGTCATTCAATTTGATGCATTAAATTTAATATGATAATTTTTACATGGACGCTTTACGATATTTTGCTTTACATCGTTTCAAAATTTTTTGATCATATTATTGTTCATGTTATCATTGTATACACAATTTATCAACATACACACACACAATTCGTTTTTTCTATTAAATAATATTATCGTACAAAAATCAGCGTTCGTTTATTATATATATATTAGCCCTTTCTGTTATATTATTATATATGATAATCTTAGTAGCTTTAATTGAACTGTAAAATAGATGGAATGTATAAATAAGCGGTAATAAGCTACGCTCCATTACATGCTATAACATCCATGGTGATATAACATCCATGGTGTGTGTTTATATAAGAATGCAGCTAAAGGAATTCGAATAAAAATCAAAGAATAATAATCTGTAATTATTCATAAATAAATGACAATATCTACTGAATTTTAATTCATGTTATTGTTTCATTGTTTCGCTACGTTATTGTCCTTGGTTTTGTTCCATGAGTCCGCACCTGAAAGCTTTTAACGTCACGGTTACGTGTTTTTAAATTGCTGTTTCTAACGAATCTTATGCTTGTTAAATATCACATATTGAGATAATTTTGAAGGAAGATTGCATAATATGATTGTTACATTTGCAACGTTGAAAAATGCATAATTTTAATTTATGTTATTGTTTCATTGTTTCACTACGTTATTATCCTTGGTTTTGTTCCACGAGTCCGCACCAGAAAGCTTTTAACGTTACGGTTACGTGTTTTTAAATTGCTGTTTTTAACGAATCTTATGCTTGTTAAATTATTGAGATAATCTTACAGGAAGATTGCATAACGTGATTGCATAATTGTTACATTTGCAACGTTGAAAAATGGATGGTAACTATTTCAAGTTGGTTGACATTCTGAACGAGACTTTATTAAGATTTATGAAAAAAGAATGCAAATACATTTCGTATATGATGGAAAGTTTAGTAAACAATACTAAATAAATAAAGATATATAAATATAAAGATAAAGATAAATATAAAGATAAAGATAAATATAAAGATAAAGATAAATATAAAGATAAAGATAAATATAAAGATAAAGATATCATGATGATTGACGCGACCATTAAGCTGTAGATATTTAAATACTATTTCAAACAAAAGTTCTTATATAAAAAATTATTGATTTGATTACTAGAATATAAATAGAAAGTTTAAATATTGTATTATAAAGTAATAATTATACAGTAATAACAGCATAACAATTGTGAAAGCACTATCGGTACGGTTAAGGGATGAAAAGCACTCAGTTTGTTTGTAGCGGAGTGTATATTGCTGCTATCTTTTGTATTAATTATTTGAACAGCGGGTCTTCCTCGAGACCCGCGCGCGCTCGCCGACGGTGCGTCGAGCCTCTGCCGCTTGCCGACAGATGGCGCTGGCAGGACTATATTGACGAGCGCGGCCGCACTCGCCTACTCAGTGAGCGGAAGCCGCCCCGCGCGTCCGTCGTTTCCCGCGCGCGCCACGTCAGCTGATCGGCGCTGCGGTGGCGGCCGCGAGATGTCAACCGTCGCACGCAGGTGGTGCTCGCATTCGTAATGGCGTATGACGGCTGACGGGCCACGGGCGAAACGCGCACGGGTGCTCGAGTTTTCGCGGATCGGAACGTCGGTTTGGTGAACAAGTGCCGCGGCGTGTTGTACGCGTGTCGGGCGGTCGCGGTAAGATGACCACGTCGACCGCCGTGTTGCCGTCGTACCAGCGCTTCGCGAACGGCGTGCCGGTGCCGTTGTTCTCGAGACGGTCCTTCCGTCCGCGCGAGAAGTACCTGATTCTACTGGTGTTCCTGACGTTCGGTATCGTGTGCTTCGGCGCGTTCTTCTTCTTGCCGGACTTCCGCACCGGCGGCGCCGCCGTCAACAGTGTTTATCGCGTGTACCAGCGTATGCAGAAAGCTGGACCTGACCTGCTGCTACCGGTACCACCGCACGCTCCTGGCGACGTCAAGGACTCTCGTTCGCTCACAGGCGGTCATCCGAACGCGGTGCCGCCGGGTCACGAGGACAGTGATCACCAGGATGTGCACCTGGTCGAGGACAAGCAGAAGTTGCAGGTGCGTTCTTTTCCCGCTCGCGCTCCTCTTTAATGAGGTCGACCAGATGAGACCCTCTCTGTTTCCTTCTCTCCGTCTCCCTCGCTCTCTCGGCCGCCTCGCCTGCTCGCGTCAGCTGTGTTAGGCGTGCTTCTTCGCGCGTTTTTCGAATTTCCACTCACTCGGTGGAAAGTCGCGAGGTGTCTTCGCGTGAGAGAGATGGCTGCCTGGGCCGTTCAAACGTCACCGTGTTGTAAGTCGCGTTGCGTTTGTTTACATACGGCCATTGTGACGTGCATGGCGGACGCACGTGCGCCGCGTCCGCGCGCTGCCACTGCGCTCGCGAGCGAGATTCCGTCTCAATGGACGATAACGATCTTCCATTGATCCGTTCCTTCCGTCGTGCGAGGCGTGAATGCTATCGGATAAACGCGCGAACGTCTGTTGTTCGTATAATCGATCGTGCGTATCGATGCGACGTGTCGCGATTAACATCCGGCCGCTCGATTGTGACGAGTTTGATCGACATTCAAATCGCCCATTTAAATGCTTTCACGTGCTTTCCTCGAGCGTTTTAATTTCAATCGTTTTCATCGCGTGTTTCGAAGCGGAACTTCCAAGCTGTTTGTCTTTTTTTGTTTTGCTCGGTCACAGCTCGATGCCGTTCGACGCGCACCTCCGTTTACATTGTGTTTCTTCTAAGATTTCACGCCCTGCGATTGTGTGTGGATACACTGAGGTGCGATCGCGTGTGACGGTTTCGTTTGTCGGAATTTATTGCGGTTAAGTCCCTGCGCAGAGGTAACGCATTCAGGTGTTTCTAACATTTAATAATTCCAACAAACGCGCCATTTGTGTCCCAACACTCGGGACTCGCGTTTTATGTATTCTTCTTTTTATCTCTCTTTCTCTCTCTCTCTCTCTCTTATTCAGCGCGGAGCATGAGCCGGCGAGTTTAGCTCGCGCAAGGTTGCGCCGTGACCTTGCCCGTGTAAAGGAATTCGTTCACGGAATACCGAGGTTTTTACGTCGAGAAAACTGATAAACGCAAATGAACCGACTCACCGATGTGGTGTTTTTGACCAACTATGTATATAGTCGCCGACATATGAATTAGACTTTCGACCTGGGCCGTTAATTTAGATAAGACCACGGTTGTACAGTCGCATTCAGTTAACGCAATTTATCTCGTCCGTGAACGCGTGACTTGCTCCATCGTTATTTCCGCTTCGCCATGTTCTCCCTTCGCGGAAGAACATAATAACGAAAAGTATAGATGTAAAGAGTAAAGATACAGCATAGTCTGAGAGAGTTGCACAGTTAATTAAAATTTCCGTGACTGTCAGGAGATAAGTCAGCGTGTCGAGTCACTTTCGTGACAGTGTAGTCGTCAGTGACGCGTAATAGCTCAGCCACAAATTAGCTACAAATTTAAACACAAGAGAGAGAGAGAGAGAGAGAGAGAGAGAGAGAGAGAGAGAGAGAGAGAGAGAGAGAGAGAGA